CAAATAAAGCTGTATTATTACAAGACAAAATGTGTACAATGTTTTGTAGTAATGAAAATAAAATCGTTTTGTTTGTCTTTCAAGTATTAATCATCAGGTTTTTTTCCTCATTATATTACCAAAACATTTGTTTCATGATAATACACTTAACGCGGCTGTTAATATTGCATTTTTTTATCTTGAGTAAAATTACTACTTTCATCCATATTTTTTTCTCTTTTGTTTTCTAGTACTGTATGGCTTCTATACCTTTATTCTCATAAAAAAAAAATCATCAAATCATAATTTGACTCTTTTAAAACATCACTACAGTGAACATGCATGTTCATTCTCATAAATTATTCTCATAATTTTATCATGATGTTTTTAGTTTTTCTCGTAACAACACAGTTTAAATCTGTAAAGCCACATTTTTCTTGTAAACAGGGTGATTTTATTTTAGTAAAATTCCAATTTATTTCTTGTAAAATGATGCCTTCTTGCCCATATGCCTTTTTTTATCATTTCTATCACGACACTGATTTCTCATAAAATTTCTTCATAAAACTTGTGTGATATTGCATTTGAATCAATTTTAGATTCAATTATTTCATAGATTTAAACCTTTATTGTAATTTTATTTCTTTCTTTTTTTTACAGTGTCCCTGTAGCTCCATCATACACTTTATGCTTACTCTTGCGTCGATGTGTAAATACTCTCAGTTGTATACTAGGATAATGAGTGATGGGTCTTTTTGCGCATGCATTTTGTTTCTGGGTAATGGGGCTTGTAATGGGACCTGATGATGTAATTACACAAGCAAGATATCATTTTAACGACATGTTAAAGTCGTCAGTCGTACACAATTTGATAGGTTACTGCTTTGTGTGCCTTTGTTAATTTCAAGTGTTGTGTTGTGTTGTGTTGTGTTTACACAGTGGTTGCAGACGATGATTCCTCCGGTCTATTTGTGTATTTTTGCTTTTCAACCCCACCAAAGTAATAAGAACACTGCGCAAAATTTGTTTGTGAATTACACTCACATCGTTACTTGACATGTTCACATCCAAGTTCTTTTTAGAAATGTATTTCATTGCCTTAAGACTGGAAGATGTTGATTTATTTCTTTGCTCACTTCTAAACTTGTTTTAATGTTTTGATCATACACTTTGAGTCGAATGGCCGTAACGATGATTTAATCATATTGCCAATCAGTCTGTTTTCTATATTACCATATTTCCTCGTACAGAGTGCATTCGCAGGCTCAACACTAAAGAGTACCAGGCATCTATAAAGTGGGGGGCGGGGGTGCAGGGGGTTTACAGCTTTAAATATATATATATACACACACACACACGGTATGTATAGAAAATTATTATTGTATTTTTTTTCAATCCGTACATTTTCTGTACTGCTTATCCATATGGCTCAAAAATGAACTGGTACAGAGAGGCGAGGTAGATCCTCGATTGGTCACCACACAATCACAGGAGATATAATGTGTGTGTGTGTGTGTGTGTGTGTGTGTGTGTGTGTGTGTGTGTGTGTGTGTGTGTGTGTGTGTGTGGATGATAGATATCACACAGAGACAAACCAAGGAAATACAAAGTGCAGTTTCTAAATACAGAACCAATTTAATTTATGTACACACACCAAAAAAATCCAAACCGACCTGTCGCAATGAGAAAAAGTAATTGCCCTTTGAACCTAATCATGGGTTGTGCCACCCTTGACAGCAGTTAACTGAACTCAAGCATTTGCGATATTTGTTGATGAGGCCACTCTTTGAGGAAATACGGTGAAATGTGCTTCTATTTATTTATTTATTTATTTATTTTTATTTGGTGCTGCTGTACTGACAGTTGGACTCAAAGGCTTTAATTTCTGCTATGTTGTGTTCGATATTGTAAAGTGTGAGTTTCTAACCAGCTCTCCCCTCATTCAAATTTTTTGTTGTTGTTTCTTTTCTTCTGTCTTCCAAGTCTCACGTCAAAGAACATCACATCCTACACAAAATATGTCTTTTTTGTTCTTAAAGCATGCTTGTTTTGTCATCAGCTGGGTTTTAAAATGCGAGTGGATCATTTTTTGAAGAATTCATTTATGAGTCTAAAGAGCCCCCTGCTGGACGAGAATGAAAATGTTCAATAGATGAGAAGCATTGGAGGACAATCTGCTTTCTATTGGCTTGTGGCTTTTTTCATCATGTTCCTCTTAATGGGCTCCCCTTCTGAGAAAATAAAGCTGACCTTGATCGAATTCCGAAGGCACGAAAAGTAATCTGAACTTCCTGTTTTTCCTCTGTTGTACTGATGAGAGCTTCTCGTGTGTGTACACTTAATATTCATGTGACTTCAATTTAGCTGAGATAACGAGGGGGGACTGAAAAGTGGCTCTTCATGTCACAGCTCACTTCACCAGAATCTTTTTCAAATTTATCTAGCTGTAAGTGGAGCGCAAAAAACAAAGGTGTCTATTTGTTGTTGCATCATTTCAATCAACTGCTTATCTTGTCAGGGCTTGTTTTGTTTTGTTTTTTTTTTCCTAGCCCCCAGTTGCAAAGTTATTCTGTAACTAGTATAATGTCACGTCATCTTGTTATGTGGGGAGTATGGATCAGCATCTCAGCATGCTCTCTCAGAGTAAAAATGTGTGCCAGCTGCTCTCACTGCAACCGTATAAACGGGTGTCGTACTCGGTGTCCTTTTGTCCTCATTTTTGTGTGCTTCAATATCTACCTCACTCTGTGATCAGCGTGATTAGCTATTTTGGAAAACGTACATTTTTTTTGTTTTTTTTTTTCCACACAAAATGTTGTGAGTTTAATTTACATGTACTGTATTACCATGAGCAGAAGTTCTCTTTGACATGTTCCTTTGCAACATTTTCTTGATCTGAACTGATATCTGCCTTAATCGTGTGCAATAAACGTTATACAGTGCTTTATTTGTGGTATTTTGTTGTGTTTTGTTAAATGTCAATCCCTGAAACATGGAATTGCCTATACTGTATTTGTTTTTTTCTGACATTTTATTGTGATGATGCTATTTTTTTATTTTCAAAGTCTTAAAGGTGTTACATGTGATTGTTTTGTCCGCAGTTAACAAGTTCCGAAAACAAAGCACAAGTCATCATGTCATACATCATCTTAAAACCCTCAAGCAGCGCTTTGCAAATGTGTGATCCTTTTGTCCTTATGTCCGCAAATAATTCAATTGCAGACTGTTATTGCCTCAAAACTTGGTGGACATATCATAGAACAATGCCCCCTAGGAGAGCCAGTTATGTCGAAGTTCATGACTAAACAACAATCATATATAAATAAATACAAATTTAAAATAGATCAGAGCAATATTTTTAAAATATCTATCGTTCATTGCCTGCAAATTGTCTCCATTTATATTTAAAAATAGCTCCATTAAGCACAATACCCAATCTTTAAAGTATTTTTTTAATCAATAAATCTTTCATTAGTAACCAGAAGTTTTCATACAGAATAAATAAACAGTGCTGTGTGTAATTTTTTATTGTATTTGTTACATTTATGACAATTGCACTCATCATTATTAAAATTGACTGCTGTCGTCCTGTACAATGAGGCAAAATGTCACATCAGATTGTTTTGTCGGAAATAAACTTCACCACAACCCAAACATTTCTTTTCTTTTTTTTACAGATTTACAACCTACACTGACATACGGTCAGTGTGACACCTTCTGTCCTTTTTATTTGCAACCGCAAAGACTTTATGATTTGTGGACAGTCGTTGAAAAAAAAAAAATCACGTCTTTGATAAATTACCACATACAACACAAAAAGGCACTACCTAATCCGGATATTTGGGTGACTGTTAGACATGATTTGTGAGGAAATGTAGGTTTTTTTTTTTTTGTTTGTTTTTGTTTTTGTTTTTTTTTACTTGAGGAGGGGCAAAACTGTGAATAGAGAGAAGTGGAATGAACTATTTAAGACAACTTGTTGGGAATATAAAACATACGTCCAGGTAGAAAAAAAGACTTTGGCAACACATAAAAATTGTTGTGTGTTTTTCTGGAGGCGGGCACTTCGTGGCGGAGCTTGTCAAGAAATGACTAGAGGTTAATGGAGGGAAGGCACCACAAACCCCTGAGATGAAACATGTTCTAATCCAATAGTCTCTGTCTCTCCCAGAGTGGCTTTTAGTTCCTTGCAGGTCCCTTCACATCCACAGGCTGAGCGCCCGGTGACAGGTTGCAAGAGGATGGGTCACAGTAACCGTTAGGACCAGCTGAACCAGGAGGCCCGGGTACACCGGGTTGTCCGGGAAGACCAGGAGGTCCTCTCTGGCCATCGCGACCGTCCTGACCATAACCAGGTTTGCCAGCGTCGCCTGTGATAGTTCTTCTTGTTAGCCTCGACATAACCTGTAATATTATGATAATCTAACATTTACTCACCAGGGAGTCCTGGAGGTCCTTGCTGACCTTTGGCTCCTCGTGCTGTCGGCCCGCGGGACCCTCTGTCACCCATTTCACCTGTAAGCGACAAACATCAAATGATGACGCCAATCCACTTAATAGCATTTAGCTAGATATAAAACAGGGAGGGCCAATTTAAATACTGGAGGGGGAACCGACCTTTCCAGTGGAAAGGGTTGTCTTGCATAAAAATGATCATTCAAGTACAGCACAAAACTGCTAAACAGCAAACTAAAATATAACTTCATTTTATGATTTTTTTTCACAAAGATGAACTCCCTAATTTTAATATTATTGAGGTGCTACGTTTGCCCTGCATATCATTCCATATCCGCAAAAAAATATTCAACCTAATCACGTAGTATCAGGCAATATAGAACCAGTTGTAAGCACATAACTAAGACATGTCTGCCATCTAGTAGTGAATGGTGATATTACAAGTTAAAACTA